TTTTTATATTTTAGTAGAGATGGGGTTTCACCACATTAGCCAGGATGGTCTCGATCGCCTGACCTCAGGATCTGCCCACCTCAGCCTCCCAAAGTGCTGGATTACAGGTGTGAGCCACTGGCCGGCTTGGCTTTTTAAGTTGTAGCTTAGTTTCCTTTAATTTGACTTACCTAGTCTTACCAATTTAAAAAAAATTATCAACCACATTGGGTTGCTTTAAAAAAAAAATCGCTTAGGAATACATCCTTCCTCATTCCAAAAGGGATTTGTGGTGGGTAAAATAATTTATTGTTGCTTCAGACTGATTTTTCTTAACTTTACTTGCTGCAGTATATTTTTTATCTCAATTGTAGGTGCTTCTAAAGTAAAGAATACCGTAAATTAATTTTAGAGCAGGCAAAGACGACAAGCCTGGAACTGGTTCCAGAAGAGCCATCTGAGCCTGTGCCTCCTCTTATAGTTGATCGTGAGAGATTGAAGGTAAGCTAGCTATTCCCAGTTTTAAATGAATGGATTTGAATGTGTTTGTAGGCAGTTGAATAAAACTAGTTTTCCTGCTTTAACCCTAGACTATAAGTGCCTCAGAGCTTCTAGTAAAAAAAAAGTTAAGTGTATTTTAAGGAGTTGAAAGATACAGGAATAGTCCAAGATAGTCTAAGGGAATAGTTCCAAGCTCTTGAATCTTTTAACCTCATGTTCACTGTATATTCTAGCTTTATGGTGCTTATTGTATAGCCATTTGAATATCCAATTTCAGTTTGACCAATGAAATCAAATTATGTTTTATTCTCTTCTTTTTTTTTTCTTAGAAATTGCTTGATTTGTTGGTAGATAAAAGCAACAATCTGGCAGTTGATCAGCTTGAAAGATTATATTCTCTTCTTAGTCAGTGCATCTACCGTCATCGTAAAGATTATGACAAATCACAACTTGTAGAGGTAAGTGTTTAGTTTATCTGTAGAATACAAATAATGTGCTTTCACTTGTTCCAAAGAAAAGAAGAAAAAAGTTATTTTGCCTACATCTATGTCTTTCACCAAGTAACTGAAGAATGTTTTGAAGATTTAAGATAAGAAGAAACATTAAGAGTTACAGTTTGAAGAATAAAGCTTTTCCATACCATTTTGTCTCTGGAAAGAAGTAATCTGGGGTTCCTTTTTTGTCAAAACAGAAATCCATGGTTCTGGGTTGGTAAATATGCAGGAACAGTATGTTACAATTCTCTCCTTACTTGCTTGCTGACTGAGCCTATCACTTGGGCTTGTTGGATGTGGTCATGGCCCCACTCCTAGTCAGCCACTGCTGATGTAAAGGTGTTGGCATGGGCAGTGAGACCTATTTGCCATTAATTGACAGATAACTCAAAAGTCATCTTGTTTAGTCAAATCTACTCCTGTAAATTAGCCATATGAAGGAGTGACTGTCCTTTTGCTTAGATGCTTTTAGAGATGAAGCATTCCCTTTCTAGACAACTCTGAACCAAGGGCCCATATAAATATGAGCTTAAGCTTATATCTTTGTTTATATAATTTCAATCATTAAACCACAATTCTGCGTTTTCAGATAATCTGAGCGAATGTAATCACTCATCTACCCCAAAATGGCTAAATGACTTAATTCAACTCTCTTTGTTCATTTGCCTGGTAGCTTGTTTACCTGGTGGTCTATTAAATGTTTATTGAGTACCTGCAGTGCCACATGCTGTGCTAGGTGTTTGAAATGCAAAAAAAAAAAAAAAAAAAAAAAGAAAAAATGAGTAAGACAAAGTTTCTGCTATCAAGGAATATTTTTAGTATATTAAAGATTTATAGGTAAAGGATATCGTTATTTTTCATGTGTAATAAAGAATAAGGGATTTGAATCAAAGCAAGTGCACATTTGAAAATTATTTTGTAATCACATTTTTACAAAACTGTATTAAGTCATATAATATATAGACATCACAGGAAAACACAAATGAGAAAAAAAAGCATCACTTATATTCCACCATCCAGAGAGAACTAGTCAGTATTAATCTTTTAGAATATCTTCTAACCTTTTAAAATGTCTGGATGTACATACCATTTGTATAAGTGTATGAATATATATTTTTAAATTGGGGTCATATTTTATGTTTTGTTTTATAATTTGATTTTCTTTTCTTATGTAGCAATATATGATAAAACATTTAGCAGGAGTGATTTTTGTTGATCTCATAGAAGAACTTGTTGATCAGATGATGATCTGTTAATACAGCCTATTAATTCTGCAGAGACATAGAATAGAATTTCTTTGGAGCTGTTTTAAGGGAGGGAAAAAGTGCAAGTGTCTTAGATGTATTTGACATTTGCCCACCTGAGTAAAATGTGCGGGGTAGAGTTCTTCACATTTTTTACATTCTAGAACTTCTTTGTTCATATGGTTGTAGTTTTATTAGCTTGAATGCACTAAATACTCCTTACCAGTGAAACATCTCTGTGGAACCCTAAAAATCTAAAGGCCTAATTTAGGGAGGGAAGGGATTGATAGCAGAATCAGCAATGAGTGGCTTTCATGGTGGTGGTGATGGAAGCCACTCATTCTGGCTTTTTTTCCCCTGTGTTTTCAGCTCTGGTTGGAGTGAATAGAAGTGGAAACACAATGCATTCTGCTTTTGGGCATAAGTTTCACTATGTAGAATGCATTCATTTTGCTTTGGGAGTTAGTGAAATATAATGAAGAAGGAAGGGCTTAGTGTCTGGAGTGAGGCTGCCTGTATTCAAATCCTGACTGCCATCTGTTAGCTGTCAAATTATTTATCCCCTCTGTGCCTCAGTTTTTTTATCTGTAAAATGGGCCTCATAGTAATACCTATGTTCAACTTTCAGTGTTGTTATGGGAGTAAAACTATGTATATAAATGATATGCATATATATAAATACAAGTATTTACTTAAATTTATGTATTTTATATATAGAAATTTCCTAGTAAATATCTGGCCTAGGTTAATCATTGAGTGTTGCTATCATCATCCTTATATTCATATTACTTATACCTCATACTGATATTACTGGCATAATGTTATTCGTTGACTGTGACTATCATCATCATCCTTATTATCCTAATTGTGAAATAGGAGGTACTTGGAAGTGTCTAGCGCAGATAGTCTTAATTAGCTATGGTACTGTAATCAGGAAAATATTCAGAGTTTAACCTGTATCTCAAATTCATTCCCTAAAAATTTAAAGTGAATTCTTCCATAATGAGGAACACTTTTGTCTTTGCCTTAATAGATAACATGCTTTTTTTTTTTCCCTTTTATAGGAGATGGAAAGAACAGTTCATATGTTTGAGACATTCCTATGAACTTTTCAAGATGAGTGGTTTATCCTCTCCAATCTGCTCCTGACAGAGCAGTCTTCTGAGCCATTCAATTTCAAATTGCACCAATTATGTGCAGAGCCTTGGTGTAAAGTGCTCTCTTACTCATTCTTTCTCTCTGTTGAATTTGGTGCTATTGTCTCAGGTACCTGAAACCAACCAGCCTACAAGAACCAAACAGAACTTCAGAAACATGTTGTATTTTCCACAAATAAAAAATACAACCCCACAGCTTGGAGATTTTGGTGCTACAGAAACTGCTCTCGCTTCTGCTCCTCTTTTCATGCACTCTCTTTTGGAGACTCCTCTCTTAGGGAGCAGACCAGCAAACAGGAGGAAACTGGATGGGGCAGTTCTAACTGTGATGAATTGTTTAAACAGTGGGCAACTTGTTATTTTTTTTCTACATTTTACCCCTTTAATCATTTTTCTCCCCATCTGGGTAATGAATGGACTGAAACCTGTTTTAGAGTTGGCTATGGTCTGTTCTGTTGGGAAGCTGAGGAAACTGAATGAAATTAGGTCAGGCTCTTTAGAACTGCCTTTAACGTGCCTTTTTATTCATTTGAGGAAGATAAGGCTAAAAGGATGGGCTGTTTGAAGCAAATAAATTAGAATGCTTTATTTGGTCTCAACCTTGAAAATAAGTTTTGATACTCTGTGTCATTAAGAGACAACCAGTGTTTGGGTCTGAAATGCCTGTCTTATTCTCAAAGCTCAATCAAGACACCCAGTAAGCCACATAATATACTAAAATGGTAAGTTTTCTTGTATGGTCTGTTTCAGTTTAAGAAATATGTAATAACAACAACGAATAATACACAGTCCACACATACAAAAAAACAAAAACAAAACAAATCTCCATACTTTTTGGTATTGCTGACAATGATGACTAGAAAATAGATAGTGGCCATTCTTTCTTCTGCCAGTGGCATTTAATAGTTATTCATGTTTGAGTTCCCAGAGAAAAATGATTTTTATATGTAGTAAATTGTTACTTTCTTTTAAAGCCAGGACTTGCCAAAGGGACAGAAAAGAGAGGAATTCGTCAGAAGCTCCATATAATTCATTTTCTGTATGCTTAATTGCAAGTGAGCTCTGGTATAACCCTTGAATAACAGTATTAATGTTTAAATCCCACCTCCTAAGCTTAGCTTCACAGCTCTTCATTTTGATTGGAAACCATTTTGAATCTTGTTGAGTGATTTCTGTGAATTGTATGTATCTGAAATTAATTATGCATTACTAGTTTTACAAAACTTTCTACAAATTCGGAAACACAGTCTAGGCAGTTGCAAAGAGACAAAGGGTGCAGTGATGTTTTTTATCAGATGATTTTTAAACAAAAAGGTAGAAAATTTTGCCGACAAGTTGGCTTGATATCTTCATTCATTGTAGCCGTTAGCTGCAGGTGTGTCTTTTCAATATATGCAACACATGTAGTTTGGGTTTTAATTAGGGCAAATGGTCTTGGACTACTGCAGAGATTCTGAGCTACCTCAGCTTTTTGTATTTTAGTTACCAACAGTGTTTACAGAGTTCTGTAATCACTTTGCCACCGTTTACATCCTGAAGCTAAGGTACTTGTCTCCTTGTCTCTGGCTCTTTGTAGTGTGCAGAAAGCATACTTTGGCCATAGCCTATTGCAGTAATCCAAAGTGCTTCTTTGCATTTACATTTACATCTAACGCCTTCTAATCCTAGCTTAATTTTTTTAATGCCATGTGTTTTCTTTGTACCTAGTCTGTGAAGTTTTCGTAATATTCAGTTAGTCATATTAGTCGAGATGCTACCCATGTAGACACACTGTATTTTTAAGGTGGGCAAGTGCGATTAACGATGAACCATTTTAAAGGGGAGGTTATTTGAAACCTCTAATTTGATTATTGGGAGGATTTTCATGCTTTCTTTAGTATTTATTACCATCATACCAATTCAAACTATTTTATTGTCTAATACATTAGCATTTTGTATTTTGATGGAAATTGTTACAGAATTTAAAGATTTGATGAAATAAGATGTAGCAGATTTTTTGTAGCAAGTTACTGGTAAAAGGGTTTTTTGCAAGTCTCAGGTTCTTGCTGCACTATTTTTTTTTAAATATTTATTCCAGTTATTCTAATTCAGGAGCATTCTGTTCAAGTAACAGCAGCACTTGTGAAAGGAAAAAAAACGCACATTGTTTCTTAGTAGGTTACTCAATTTGTACAATTAAGATTTTAGCCATCAGTGAATTTGACAAGGGAAGTGTATTTATTTTCAGCATTAAAATGCTTCCAAAAGATCAAGTTGTTTTTGTTTGTTTGTTTTTTTAACCTTAATGTAGATGGAGTAATTGGAGGCAACCTCAGTATAGGAACTGCCACTTCGAACAGTTTAGGTCTTAAAGAGAAAGTCAATCTAATGCCAAGGGGAGAAAAATGAGCTGAAATTGTACCAACTCCTCTGGCCTTCTTTCCCTCAATTAAAAAAAAAAAAAAAAAAAAAAAAACGTACTTACCAGTTTTGCTTATTTTACAGGTATCTGGTGGTTCTATAGTTTAAAGCAGCTTGTGAAATTATTTAAGTGGACTCAGTTTTGTTTACCTTTCTGTAAGTT